TCGAGTCATCCTTGGAGGTGCTAAAAGTGCTAAAGACCTTTAGTGAAGACTTATCTTATGTGCCAACCGAACAAGGTGGAGCTCAAGAAACCAGGCGGTCTCTTGGAGCCATTACCAGTGCCAGAGCAACCATGGGATAGTGTTTCTCTGGACTTTATAGTCGGTCTACCCAAATCAAAGGGGTTTGGAAGCATCATGGTAGTGGTGGACAGGTTTTCCAAGTATGAAATCTTCATTCCAGCAACCAAAGAGTGCCTAGTCAAGAAAACAGCTCGATTGTTCCTAAAGAACATGGTTAAGTACTAGGGAGTGCCGAGGACCATTGTTAGTGATCGAGACAGGCATTTCACGGGTAGGTTCTGGACTGAGTTGTTCAAGCTGTTGGGGTCAGACTTGAACTTTTCCACCAGCATCCATCTACAGATCGATGGGCAGACTAAGCATGTGAATGGACTATTGGAGGTCTACCTCAGGCACTATGTGAGTGCCATACAAAGGGACTAGCCAAAGCTGCTAGATGTTGCACAATTTTCCTACAACTTGCAAAGGAACGAGGCAACAAACCAGAACCTATTTGAGGTTGTGACAGGGCAACAACCACTAACACCCGGTTCGATGGCTGCAGGTTATACAGGGCCAAATCCAGTAGCATACAAGTTTGCCAAGGCATGGCAGGAGCAAACTAACTTGGCCAGAGTTTGTCTACATAAGGCAGAAAAGAGGTCGAAGAAGTGGGCAGACCAAAATAGGTGGGATGTGCAGTTTCAGGTTGGAGACTTGGTGTTGGTGAAGCTGCATCCCATTGTACGCCACAGGGGGCTACACAAGGGACCTTTTCAAGTAGTCAAGAGGGTAGGCAAGGTTGCTTACAAGTTGGATATGCCACCTAAGCTGAGGGTACACCCGATGTTCCACATAATCATGCTCAAGCCGTTCCATAAGGATAAGGGAGATCCAAGATAGGCAAAGTCAAAGCGTGTGCCATTAGGAACAAGGGCCTCATATGAGAGGGAGGTCCACAGCATCATAGCTGATCGGGAGGTGAGACAAAAAAACTATCAACCAAGACAAGAGTACTTGGTACGCTGGAAGAGACTTCCAGACAGTGAGGCGAGCTAGGAACTAGTAGAGGACTTATGGCAGTTCGGGGACCAAATCAGGCAGTAGCATGCAGAAGACGCAATGAGGGTGTTGCATAATCAGGTGGGGGAGAATGTCATGCCCTGGGCGGGCGCGCCAGGCACATCAAACGCACCAGCATGTGAGCCAGATGTTGAGGCTCGCACATTAGGTGACTGGTAGGTATTTCACGCAAGGCCTAGGAGACAAGGCCAGAATGCTCACCCAGCTTACAGGCCAGCCCGTGAGGCCAAGGCCTGGCCTGAAAGCTTCCCTCACCATATCCAGAGGGGCCCAAGGTGGGAGATACGCAAGTGAATCTTTTGGAAGCTTGTAAGATCAGCAGGAACCTCTTGGTAGATTTGGTTGACCCTAGAATTCAGGAGTTAGAATCCTGATTGATTGTAATCTTTGTAATTCCTTGACTTTAGCCTTTATTCTAGGGATATTGCCATAAGTGTAGCTGGAGCCCCAACTATAAATAGAGGGCTGTTCCACCCTCATTTGTACACCATCAAACACTTCTGTTTTCAGTGAATATAGAGCATATTTCCAACATTCTACGTAATCAGCCCTTCCCATTGTTCTAGTGCCTGCACGCTTGTGTTTTAGGTTGACGTAGGCATAAAGGAGGAGATTCCAAGCCTAAGGCCGCACGGATTATGAGTTTAAGGTCAGAGCCCGTGACACCTGCACCAAGGCCTAGCACGTGCCGATGGTGTTCAAGGCAACTGCCTGCACCAAGGCCCAGCATGTGCTGATGGTGTTCGATGCAACCGCCTGCACCAGAGGCCATCTTCTACCAATGGTGATCGAGGCAGCCGCTTACGCCAAGGCCCAGCATGTGCCGATGGTGTTCGATGCAACCGTCTACACCAGGGGCCATCTTCTACCGATAGTGATCGAGGCAGCCGCTTACACTAAGGCCCAGCATGTGCCGATGGTGTTCCATGCAACTGGCCACACTAGGGGCCATCTTCTACCATTGGTGGTTGAGGTAAGTGCCCGCACCAAGGCCCAGAATGTGCCGATGGAGTTCAAGGCAACTGTCGGCACCAGGGGCCATCTTCTATCGATGGTGATCGAGGCAACCACCTGCACTAGAGGCCATCTTCTGCTGATGGTGGTCAAGGCAAGTGCCCACACCATGGGCCGGCTTGTGCCGATGGTGCTCGAGAGAACCACCTGCACCAAGGCCCAACATGTGCCGATGGAGTTTGAGGCAATCAAACGCACTAGGGACCATCTTCTATCGATGCTGATTGAGGCATGGCACGTGTCGATGGTGGTCCAGGCAAGTGCCCGTACCAATGGCCAGCTTGTGATGATGGTGGTCGAGGCATGTGCCCGCACCAAGGCCCAACACGTGTCAATGGTGCTTGAGGCAACCGCCCACACCAAAGGCCATCTTTTGTCGATGCTCATCAAGGTAAGCGCCTGTACTAAAGGCCAGCTTATGCCGATGGTGGTCGAGGCAAGTTCCCGTATCAAAGGATAGCTTGTGTCGATAATGATCGATGCATGTGCCATCACCATGCACCATTATGTGCCGTTGATGGTGCTGCATTTTTTTTTGCCTGAGGCACCATTTTTGGAGAACCTGGTCGGAGCATCGTTGGAGAACCTGACCAACGACATTGGGGGTTCCGACGATTGGGGGGGCCAGGGGGTGTGCGCACATGATGTGCAATGGGTACTGGTACTCGCCCTTATATTGGCCCTCTATCCCTCAACAAACCGCAAGAACTCACACCCCCTTAAAGAGCATATGAGATTTTATAGGTTTTCTGCCAGTAGCCATTCAAGTGTTTGAAATGGGGACACTTTTTTCAAATGGTCATAAAATCTTCTACACTTCGAGTTTTTGGCTGAATTTTTTTGGACATGCTAAGAAAAGAACACAAGAATCACGTCTACTGAATTTGGGGCCAAAATTCCTTCTAAAAAAATTTTAAAAAATCTCGAACCCTAAAAAATTTTGAAAATTGTGAAAAATAGAAAACGAGTCATCTTCCCATGAAACTTCACATGAAGGCTTAGGGGACTATTGTATGAATTTAAAAGCCATAAAAATGGCATTGGCATAGCAAAAATATGAAGATGTGCCTAAACCCACCTACCACCCGATCGTGGCACGTATGGTGCTCGGCCTGGGCTAAGGACACCTGCGCGTGGTGTGCGGGTGTTGGGGAGTGCTCATGTGAATTCA